AGATGTTTGGCACTAGAGTAGTGTAATAAAATGAATATTGTAAACTTCATCAAGGATCTTGAATAAATAATTTGGTGTATACGAAACACTTACTTGATGCGGAAGACGACATAATTTGTGATCTTAATCTTGATGATCACACGAGGTTGAATTGATCGTTAGATCTAAACTAGTTTCTCCCTCCTGACCGATTCCTTAACGTAGCAGAAAAGTGATGGGATAATAACTGCGTACCCTAATAGGAGGAGAGAGGACTAATTTATATAGTGGGTGCTTTAGATCTGGTACGTCCATCAAATATCCAGATTAATGGCTTAGATTTGTTTGACTATTAAATAAAGGTCTAGCCCAATAGGGTAATTAATTGTGAGCCCAATGCTTTCGGGCCACATATTCTTACATTCTCCCACTTGGTCCGAAAGCCCATATTTTAATAGTATAACATTAGGTGCGCATAAACAAATCTCAATATGCCATACATCATAATAAACTATGACATGATAAACCATATAGTGAGAGTTATGGCGGTTGTACACTCTCGATTCGCATACTTCCTTCCATATACTACTACACTAACAGTTTAACACACCAAGTTTCATAATTATATATAAATATCATAATGTCCACTTAATTGTCATGAAGACATTCATTTCTTGTTCTAAACATAATGTATACAAAATCATAATGAACAAGAAATTCGATAATAGTCAGAAACATAACATCAATGAGCTCAAGAGTGTGCCATAACATCATCATAATCAATCATCAATACAACCAAGACCCATTCTATGTACATGTTCTTTAAATGTCTTTGGTTGTAGACCTTTAGTTAACGGATCGGCAATCATAAGGTCCGTTCTTATATGTTCAATGCACACTCTTTGTTTTTGAACTTCCTCCTTAACGGCAAAATACTTTAATTCCATGTGTTTTGCACCTTTGGAAAATTTGTCGTTCTTGGAGAAGAAAACTGCTGCGGAATTATCACAATACAGTTTCAGCGGCTTGGTAATGGTGTCGACAACCCCAAGTCCCGAAATAAAGTTCCGCAGCCATAATGCGTGAATTGTAGCCTCAAAACAAGCTACAAATTCAGCCTCCATAGTAGATGCAGCTATGACAGACTGTTTGGCACTTTTCCATGATATTGCTCCTTCGGCGAGGAGAAACACATAGCCAAACGTTGACTTGCGACTGTCAAGGCACCCAGCAAAATCTGAATCTGAATATCCAAGCACCTCAAGGCGATCAGATTTCCTAAACGTGAGCATATGATCCTTCGTCCCTTGAAGGTATCTCATCACTTTCTTTGCAGCTTTCCAGTGATCCATTCCAGGATTACTTTGATATCGGCCAAGCATTCCAACAGCGAAGCTAATATCAGGCCTCGTGCAAGTTTGCAAGTACATCAAACTGCCCACAACAGAAGCATATGGAATAGAGTCCATACTCTTTCGTTCCACATCATTCTTAGGGCATTGCGTAAGACTAAACTTATCCCCTTTCTGTAATGGGACAACACTTGGTGAACAATTGTTCATACCAAATCTCTCAAGAATTTTCTCGATATAAGCTTTCTGAGACAATCCCAACATTCCTTGTGATCTATCCCGGAATATAGAAATTCCAATCACATAGGATGCCTCTCCCATATCTTTCATTTCAAAATTCTTTGAGAGAAAATCTTTAGTCTCATGCAAAATTCCCAAATCATTAGCAGCAAGTAGGATATCGTCAACATATAGAACCAAAAATATAAACTTACTCCCACTGATCTTCTGGTAAATACACCGATCAACAGTGTTTTCTTGAAAACCAAAAGACGTGATGGTATCATTAAACTTAATATACCATTGTCTGGAAGCTTGTTTAAGTCCATATATTGACTTCTTAAGTTTACACACCATGTGACCCTTTCCTTCTATGGAAAACCCTTCGGGTTGATCCATATAAACTTCCTCATCTAAGTCCCCATTAAGAAAGGCTGTTTTCACATCCATTTGATGTAACTCTAAATCATACTGAGCTACTAAAGCCATAATGATCCTTAAAGAATCCTTCTTAGAAACAGGTGAAAAAGTCTCCTTATAATCAATGCCATCTTTCTGAGTATAACCCTTGGCAACAAGTCTAGCTTTATGTCTTTCGATATTGCCACTCGAGTCGCGTTTGGTCTTAAAGACCCATTTACACCCAACTCGTTTTGAACTTTCTGGCAATTCTACTAGATCCCAAACATTGTTTTTAGCCATAGAGTTTAACTCTTCTTTCATAGCATCAATCCATTTATGAGACTCGTCACTGTTAATGGCTTGTGAAAACGAAACAGGATCTTCATCAATGCTAGTATCATAATCCAACTCTTGCAAATAAACCACATAATCATCCGAAATAGCAGATCTTCTCACCCTTGTAGGTTTGCTTAATGCTATTCCACGTGGTTCATTTGTGTTAGTTGGTGGGAAGTTAGTCTCTTCATGGGGTACTACTTCATCCAAATTTTGTCCACCATTATTTTGTTCTTGAGGTAGTGGAACAATATTTGGAACAACTGTGGATATTGGAACATTAATGGGTAATGGAACATCAACCCTTATTTCATTAATTTCCACAGTCGCTTTAGCACTCCCACTAACTTCACCATTTTCAATAAACCTAGCATTGCCCGTTTCAACGATTCTAGAACTATGATTAGGACAGTAAAACATATACCCTTTGGACTTCTCTGGGTAACCAATAAAGTAACCACTCACAGTTCGAGAATCCAATTTCTTTTCATGTGGGTTGTATACTCGTGCTTCTGCTGGACAACCCCAAACATGCAGGTGTCTCAAACTAGGTTTCCTTCCAGTCCATAACTCAAAAGGAGTTTTAGGAACTGACTTACTAGGAACCCTATTTAGCAGATACACAGCAGTCTTAAGTGCATACATCCACAAAGATTTGGGTAATAATGTATTACTTATCATACTCCTAACCATATCAATTAATGTTCTATTTCGCCTTTCTGCTACACCGTTTTGTTGAGGTGTGCCTGGCATAGTATACTGTGCACATATGCCATGTCTTTCGAGGAACTTAGCAAATGGACCGGGATTTTGTCCCGATTCATCATACCTTCCATAGTATTCACCACCTCTATCAGACCTTACTATTTTCACCTTTCTGTCTAACTGCCTTTCAACTTCATTAATGAAAACCTCAAGTGCATTTGCAGCTTGAGATTTTTCCTTGAGCAGATAGACATAACCATAACGTGAAAAATCGTCTATAAAGGTAATGAAGTACTTTTCTCCATTGAAGGATGGAGCATCAAAAGGTCCACATATATCAGTGTGTATAATTTCAAGAAGCTGACTGCTTCTTGTGGCTCCTTTCTTGTTATGTTTGGTTTGCTTTCCCTTAATGCAATCCACACACAACCCAAGATCGGTAAAATCTAGATTCGAAAGAATCTCATCTTTCACCAACCTTTGCATTCTTTCTTTGGATACATGACCCAAACGTTTATGCCACAAGAAAGCAGAGTTCTCATTTGCTACACCACGTTTAATTCCAATGTTTTGATGAACACACATTAAAGATGCAGAAAAATCAACATCAAGTTTCAGTTTATATAAACCATCCATAAGAATTCCAGAACCAATAATGGAATCATGTTTATCAAACAAACTGAAACATCCATGTCCAAACTTAAAGGAAAACCCAAGAACATCAAGTCTAGAAAGAGACATTAAGTTTCTAGAAGATGAAGGTACATAGAGAGTTTGCAAAAGATCCAGGTGGTGCCCGGAATCTAAAACAATACGATAAGTCCCTATGCCTTCAATTGGGGCCTTCATACGGTTCCCCATGAACAAGAAGTTCTCATTTGGGTTTATGCTCTGGATTGTAAGAAATCCCTGCATCACATTAGAAACATGAGTTGTAGCACCAGAATCCAACCACCATGTATTTGAAGGAACTTCAGACAAGTTTGATTCGAAACATACAAAGATATTAGAAATACCTTTCTTTTCAAACCAAGACTTGCGTTTCAGGCAATCTTTCTGTATGTGTCCTTCTTTCTTACAGAAATAACATTTATTTGCCCGATTTTCCTTCTTTTCATCATTAGTGACCTGTGAAACTTTAGCAGGTCCTTTCTTCTTAAACTTGTTGGATTTCGGTTTGAGAACATTATTTGCTCCATGACCCACAAGGTTGACCGTATGAACTCCTTGTGCCTTAAGCCTCGTCTCCTCCTGAACAAGCTTACTGGCCAATTCATTAACATCCCACTTATCCTTAATAGTGTTATAGTTAATTTGAAATGGCCCATATTCAGGAGGCAACGAGTTAAGCATAAATTGCACCAGAAATGAGTCATCAACAGTCATGCCCAGGGACTTAAGCCTTGCTGCAAGATTAGTCATGTCAAGAACATGTTGCTGCATACTACGCGACCCATCATACTTTTTGGTCGTGAGTTCAGCCATAAGTGTTCCTGCCAATGACTTATCCGCGGAACGGAAACGCTCTTCCACAAGCAAAAGGTATGCTTTCGCATCCACATTATCGGGAAGAGTTGACTTAATGTTGTTGGCAATCGTCATTCGCATAAAGCTCAAACATAATCTGTTAGACCTGTCCCAAGCCTTACGGTTTGATTTCTCAGCCTCACTGCTTTGATCAGTAATGTCAGCGGGCTTTTCTTCAAGCAGAGCCAAGTCAATATCCAAAACACCTAAATGGAAATTGACTTGCTCACGCCATTCAGAGAAATTCAAACCATTGAAGACAGTAACAGAAGAAGCTTGCGAATGAAGAGAGATAGCTGCACAATCATAAACGCTCACTTAATTAATAGATTCAGAAAATACATTCATCACATATATTGCAGGTCTCCTTTGGGTAAACACACAATATATATCATTATCATAAGTCGAATGTC